TAAAGTAAAAATAAAAATAATAAGATGAAAATATGTCTTATACAGTTTTTGGTGGGCCGTACCCCCGCAATCTCCGGCGCCTTTGTCCGGCACTTTTCTCTATCTTTCTCTAGTTGCGAGTGCAACAAAAACTGCAAACTACTTTCATAATTCATTTCTGCCTGAGTGTAACAATTTTTGCACTTTATGACTTTCGAGTGCGCCCAGCGAGTGGCTTGACTTGGGCCCGCAAATCATGCAACATTCTGAGTCGTAGCCAGAGTCGAAGCCGCAGTCGCTGTCGCTCAGCGGGTTGCCGTGCCCCAAAAATAAAAATAAAACTTAAAGTTGCCAACATTTGGGTTACGCTCTTTTTTGTGCTAATTACAAGGAAACTGGCAGCTAAGAGCTGCAGCTGGAGTTTGCCGCTGCTGATGGATGGGGCACTCGAGTTGGCAACAGCCGAAAACGAAAACAAACTTGTGGCCGAGCGCAACAACAAGGGGCAAGCAATAAACGGCAAGAAGCAGAAGCAGGGCACGCGGGCCAAAAAGTCAACGACAAGCCGAAGGCAGCCAAAAGCCCTGCCCAGCCAAGGCAAGGCAAGGCCAAAAGCGTGACCAGGAAGTTGTAAGCGACTCAGCCAAAACAAAAGCACCGACAACTGAACTCCCCTTTCATAGCACACTTCAACTCTTTCCCCTTTGAACAGCTGCGTCTACTCCACCTCCGGGCACTCTCCGAACTGCCCGTTCGTGAGCAAACAGATTGGCAGGCAAAACGACCTCGCCTGGTCAAAATACAATGCAGTAGGAAGTGCTGCCTTGGCTTGTTTACCTGGCAACTACTAGCTCCAAAAACAAAAAAAAAAAACAACTGCTGGCTCCGGTTGCAAAGTAAAACGTTGAACGTTCCACAAGCCGAAAGACGTTGCCTCAACAGTCAGAGCGCGCTCCGAGCTGTTGCCTTGAACCCGGCACAAGGGGTGCCAAGCACTTAATCAGTTTCGTATATACACAAGATAAGAGACAGAAACAGCAACTGCGGAAATATACAAAAACATATCATTGTACATATTCCTTGACAGAAATGTCTTCTAAAATTGACCGAGTTGCTATGATGACCAGATAAAGACAATCTCAAATTTGAGACTTGACAGTTGGTTAGATTTTAATAAACATATAAATACAAAGAAAATATTTATATTTATTCTATTAAAGACTCTTTGCTTTTAATATGCGACGTTTATATTACATGCTTGAATTGAGTGTTTTGCGGGCTTGTTTGGAGAATTCGTACTCTCAATGGCGGCTTAACCATTGTTCATATCACACGTTGACAGGAATCGTTGGCCCCACTTCTCCCTTCGTTTGGTACAAAAATGTTTCGATTTATATGCCACCCCAAAGAAAAACATCAATAAATGACAAGTGGCATGAATGCACAGCTAAAGGATACATTATATATTTTTATCCTTTACACTTTGTATAAATTCGTATATATGTTCTATATATTATATACTATATATTTCTCAAAAAAAAACATTTAAAATCATTTTTAAACATATTAAATAAAGCAAATTAAGTTAGTCAATGTTGAAAAAATAACTTTATATGTCGTCTAGAATTAATTGCACAAAGTGAATACCATACCTGTGTTATACCTGTTATTTGGTTATAGGGTATAAAAGCAACTCAAGAAACTCGGAAATACAGGCAAAGAATTCAGGTTATACAAGAACCACGTATGTCCTCGTATGTAGAGTCCTCCTGAAGGAACCAGGCCAATAAAACTCAGCCTCATATGGGCCGACATACGAGCTGTCGTTTTATACACACACATCCACATAAATATAAATAAATGCATTTAAGTAAACGAAGCGAATCGGAATTGGAGTTCCGTATAAAGCACAATCGAATCACAAAAACAACGCCTACAACAACAAGGACAACAGCGAGAAATCCAAATAAAAACAACAACAAGCCGATGACTGGTAATTTGAACACTTGAAGCAGAGTCTGCCTGCCACAATGCTTGCGGCATAAATAATTTTCTTTTGATGAAATTGCGGCACGTTTATATGCAAAAGTAATAAATAATTTAGCAAAATTTAAAGGATTTACTGTGCTGCTGAAAGAATTCGCGGTTAAAACTGAAAACAAAAAATTAATATAAATCTATTAAGCTAAGATTAATTCTGGACTATAAAAATAAATTAAAAAAAAAAAGTTATTTTCCATAGACACACAATTTGATTAAATATTGAGGACACAAACCAAATTGTCTTCGGTAAATAATAAAATAAAATATAAAAACCTTTACGAAAAATATAATTTAATATCTATCATATAAATGGCAATAATTTTAACTATTTCGTATTGATAAAAGGCGTCTTCTTTGAGTAAGGCTGTCGGGGAGCTCTGGGGTCTAGTTTGGAGGAGGTCCTTGAAAGATCTTCTCTTGAGCCTCCTGACTACACACCTCCCAGCGAGGGCTCTTGCTACCCGATTGCAGTGTCTCTGCAAGCGTTCGTTGTATCGGCTGGCGAATGCTTCTACTTGGCTGCCTATTGTCTCCATTTTGTTTACTTCGCATACACCACAAAAAAAATAATACTAGTAAATATAGATTTATATTAACTATAAGGAACTTGGTCGTTGGACTTAATAACACCTTTAAAAAGGAAATTATAGTTTTTTAATTTTTTCATTTTAATGAATTATAACATTTTGGCAGACATCTTTATCTTTTTTTATAGCATGAATACATAAATATATCATATTTAAATAAAAAAAAACTTTATTAAGCTTGTCAAGTCGACAATCATACTTAGAAAGACCATAAATAATTGCTTAATGACCGACAATATGCTTATACATAGAAACAGTATCTTATCAGATATGTCATAAGCCTGATCTTAACAATCTGCTGTAGAGCAATTAATCTCATGGACTAAATTGTACGAAATCCGGTTCAACATTGGCCAATAACACTCAACGGTGCTGGCAAATTTATATGTTTATTTAATTTATGAGCCTTCACACTGAGAGTTGCGGTGTTAAAAATCAGCGCCAAATAATTTGCATAATTTGCAGATGTATCTCAGTGCGAATGAAGCCAGTAAAAACCAAAGCTCAGAAAGTGCAAAAATGGATAGCAAATGGATTACCCCCTAGCACAAAGCATTTAAGTGCTACTAATTCATTGGTCCCCTCAATTTATATGCAAATGGAAGCGTTCACTTGGCTGAAAAGAAATGAATATGCTCTTTGGTTTATACACTAGAAAGAGTGCTTAAAAAGAGAACCTGCTCGAGTCGAACGAAAATCAATTAGGGCGCCCAGAAAATCCATCAACAAACTTGCACATATTGATAACAGGTAGCAAGTAGGAAGTTGTCTGCGGCTAATTAAAAACCAGCTACGAGGTGCGACAGTATCATTTATTAGCACTATATAAATTACATCCGATGTATCAAATGCACAGTTAATGCCTGAAATATAGTTCTCGCTCTTAACTTTTCTGCGGCACCTGCTACAGATACAGATTTAGATATATCAAATACATCCGTGAACCGTGAGAGTTCAAATCCATCAGCCAAGATACAGTCTGCGGCTCCGAATCCATCGCTGTGCAAAAACATAAGTTGCCACTGTCCCCTAAATGGTCAGCTCCATGAGCAGCAGCGGCAACAACAACAACAACAACAACAATAAGAACAACAGCAACAACAACAAGAGCCGCGAAACCCGTTAAAAAACGTGGCCTAATCCGGTTATTAAACTTTACATTCGTCTGCTGCTCGACTGTGACGTCCGCTCTGCGTAAGTTCTCGCTCTTTAAAAGTGCTTCAGTTTTTTAAAATATATGCTCAAAGTTTTTTTTAGTTTAAAGCCGGTGTCTATAAAAACGTGGCGCATGCGCAGCGCATCTTTTAGTCGACTTAAATTCCCCAAGCGCGACAGCTCGAAACAGTTAAGGAATTATGACGCTTCGCATTGTGAGTGTAGAGCATGAAGATGCAAGTCCGATAATGGGCTTGTACTTGGAGTTTAATATAAATAAAATGGTTTAAGCAAATATTTGTGTTGAGAGAAGCTCTTAAAGGCGCTGTCTAGAAAAGCAGTTAATGTGGAAGCAACCTTGCAAGCATGTTACTGAACTCAATTAACTGCTAACTATTGTGATATATGCTGAGTTTAATGGAAATGTATGCTTGACGATTGTCACATCAATAAGCTGCATCTGTAACAAGTTTCACCTGCAATATATTAGAAAGTAATTTGCATAGCAGCAGGTGGTCGAATTGCTAAGCACTTTAAATTAAAAAAAAAAAAAACTTCTTTGTCAAATGTGGCACACATTCGTGACGTCAATATAAGCGTCTTAAAGCGCATGATTAGTACCGCTTAGGCATAACAAGTTATTCTGGCAAGAAACTATTTGGAAAAATTTCAAATTTATTTTTGCAGTATTGAATTTGCATAACATGCTTAAAACAAATTTATATACATACTTTTAAATGTTTAATATGCTAGATGAATGCAAACTATGCAGGAAGCCTAAATGGGGCGTTCAACTTGCAGGTTTATTCTTTGCCTCTTTTATTGAGAACTCCTACCCATGCCGTGCTTACCCTCTGGTTCCAGAGTGATTTGCATATTGCGGATGCTTTGATGAACAGCAATTAATTTGAAATATGATGTCAATTTATAAATAATCCAAGAGTATTTCAGCTAATGCTCTGAGAAGAAATATACACGAAATGAAGCATAACCGAGCAAAACCTTGTTGGCAAAAATTTAAATTTCATGTAGAACAACAGGTTTATAATATTAATAGGCAAAAGTGAATTTGCGTTTATTTTTGGCTAATAAATTGGCTTGCACTCAGTTTTAGGCATCATTTTCTATAACTTATGTCAACTTTTAATGAGGCACGTGTCTCGACCTTTAGCTAGCACCTAAGTTATGTAGGATATATATGTTCTTAAGGCGGAATGTGATACAAATTATCAAACAATGCAAGGTTACAGATGTTTCCCCTTCACGATATTGCTTTCGAGGTCAGCTCAAAATGATCGCTGCCCACTATGCGAACAAAAGCTCAAATCTAGACTATAACCAAATGAGCTGTGCCATAAAATTCCGTCCAAAACAGATACGACTGCATAATTTGTGCCCAGAAGCAACGCTAATTATATTGTGTAAACATAAATAGAAACACAAAAAAAAAAAACACAAAAAACAATAACACACGCCAAAAGCCATCGATCATTCTTTGTATCGTCCGCACACGACTTAAGAGCATTTCCCAACTATTTTACAGTTATTAATCGCAGCTGCCGCATTGATTTTCCACTGCGTCGCCGATGTGGCGCACATAAATCAAGCGGCGCCTAAGGACGTACTGGTGCCATTCAATGATTTATTGCCGCCACCACTAGAGGAGTCCACAACGGAGGCCTCGACGCCAGCTACAAAGCCCACCAAAAAGTCATACTATCAGCAGCAGCAGCAGGCCAGAACCAAGGAGACGGTCATCAGGGCTGAGCTGCCAAGCGCCAAGCAGCCTGCGCTCGCCTTGGATCTGTTGCCGCCCTTCGCTGAGGATGTGGTGCAGCCACAAGTGGAGGCAGCCAGCAGCAGCAGCATCAGCAAAACCACCGTCGCCGCCGTCACTACGCAGCAACCACCGTTTGTAAGCAGCACTAGCGCGCGCAGCGTGCCACATGTTGCCCAGCCGCAGCAGCTGAGCGCACGCGTGGAAGCCAGAACCAACAGCATTGATAGCGGAACCTCCGGCTCTTCGCGCTTCTCGTCCGAGCTCATCCGTCAGTATGCAACATATTTTCAGTCCACAACGCCGCGTCCGCCGCGCGGTCCGCTGCCAACGCTAACGCCCTTTCCTCGTCATATAAAAATCTAGTAAATTAATTAAATTAGTTAAGCGCAATGCAACAATAAAATTAAATTAAAACCATACAAAGAAGCCAAGAACCTGAATTGAACATTTTTTAAGTTGCTCTTTTATTTATTAGCAACAATTAAATTCTTCACTTCGTGCAAAAGCTCATAATTAAATGAGACAAATGTGCATAAATGTATGCAAAAGAGAAATTAGGCGAGAAGCAAAAATTAGTCAGTGCATATTTTACAAAAATATGCATTTAAAAAAATTTGTTATAAATTGACACAAATTTGAGCCTAAAATACAAAAATTATAGAATTTTGTAGCTAATGACAATTACCAGTCTAGTCCATCGATCATATGACAAATGAATGCATGATTAATTCTGTTGTAGGAGTGAAAATATAAACCAATAATTTACACTACGCTTGCCCTTATGATCGCGGTTCAAAGAAGCTGAATTGGTTTTTTCTCTTTAGGGCGATTTCGAAAGATTAAGGCAGTCTGATTAGGCTGGCACTGGAACATCTGGTTTCTTTCACAACCCTACGTATTGGCATTTAGCTCTAGATCCTCAGTACCTTCCTTTCCACTTGAAGCCTAGATCTTGATCTAGGCTTAGCATAGATTATCTTTGCGTTAGTTCGAGTTAAATAAATATAGTTTTAGCTCCTACGAAGAGAAGTTTTGGTTTTGGTTTGGCTCAGGCGAAGGTATTATTTTTGGGTTTTATGTACAAAATGTACAGCAATTGGGCATATTTAATAGCAAGGTTTCGTACGTGCTTAACTTAAACAACGCGTTTCAAATAGTCAAAGTATTCATTCGTGCTAGAGAATTTGCGGAAAACAAAATTTATCACGCCGCCGCGTTTAATTAATTGCCCGCGGTAAATAACTTTGCCGATGACGCCGGTCGACACTGAAAGCCTTTTTGGCTACTGGCTAAAACAAGCCCGCATATACAAATGTAGATACAACTAACAGAACAAATACGAAATTCTTGTAGTTGCACACAGACACCGACAAGCTGTCAAGTGCTAATTATTGCCCTCGCCCTGACGTGTTTGATGTCAATGTTGTTGTTGTTTGGGTGTTTCTGTTGCTGCCGTTGATGTTGATGATGTTGCTGACATTCGAGCTACCGCGAATATGTCGCATTTGCATCGCACTGCACGGCCCAGAGCTGAATGGCAAATGTTTCTGCTTTAATCAAATCAGTGCCAGACAGATTAGCCATATTATTAGCCATATTAGCCAACGTCATTCATTGTTGCTGTTGTTGTTGCAGCTGCAATTGTTGCTGTTGCTGCTGCTGCTACTGATGATGATCTTGCTGTTCAGTTAACCGCATTATTTACACAGCTGACTGACATTAATGCGTTGCTGAAGTCAGTATAACAGCTGATTTTAAATGATTTCTCTCACTCTGACCTCACGCTGACCTCAGGCGAATGTCGCACTCAAATTGGTAGCAAACAGTTTTTCGTTGATTAATGACATCAACATAAATTTAATCCGCCATAATATGTATTCAATTAATGCTTAATACACATTTTTCTTAATGGCGTTCTGCATATTTGTTAGCCTTAAAAAAATATATATTTTCATATTTATTATAACTTTTATTGAAACATTTCAAAAAATGTTTCTTTTGAGATTAACTTATTACTGCGTAGCCTTTTGGTGCAATTAAGTTTGTTTAATATTCCAAAGGGCGCGTCAGGTTAGAGTATGCATTGTCATTATACCCTTTGTATACTATACTTAAGCACAACGTTCGTTGCTTTGAAAAATCTAAAAATTTTGACAATTTTATTTATCATGTACGAACTATTTTGTAGTTTACTTTCTCAGCCAATTGCAAAAATTTATTTATGTGATAAGCAAAATATATCATAAAATTTTAATTTAATTTACTTATGCTTAAATGTTGCAGCAAACAAAACTCATAGCTATACAAATTTTTAAATGCGTTTGTTTTTTGTTTGTTATTTGTTTATCATTTATATGATTTTTGTTTTGTGTAAAGCAAACTTAGCATGAAATTGAAATATTAATATATTTATTGGACAAAAAACAATTTACACACATGTACACATACGCAGATTTGATTTAATTTCAGATATGCACAGACATTTTATCCTATTTAGTTTTTCAATTAAAATGCCAGTGGGAAATGCAGGCGAAGCACTTTATGAGCAGTTGAAACAGTTAAATTGATTAAACGACAGCAATTGCCAGTGAAGGTCTTTAATCCCTTCTCCATTTCAGATAAATCCCGCCAATGTCAAGCTTTGACAAAAATCATTTAATTCCAATATAATGCGCTTCAGCTAATTATGAAGCAGCCAATGTCGGTGCCCGCCCGCTCTGCCCACCCACAATAAGCCTCACACAATAAACTGGATATCAGTTGAAATATGCTAAACACCGTCTAAAAACTACTTTTGACCATATCGAATGCCAAATACGCTTACTACAGTTCTATTTAATTTAATAGAAGTTAATAAAGTACACGGAGCACCCAAATTTTAATTTAATTCTATGTGAAATTGATTCCGATGTGTAACCCTTAGAATGGCTGAACTTTCCATTAAACTCTAGCTACAGGAGAGATAAATATTATTTGTTCACTCTCTTTAGAACTAAAAAACGTTTTAGGAATATTTAAAATATGTGCTTTCATTTCCATCGACTTATTTCGATTACCCTGCTGCAGTGTATGAAAATAATGTTTGTTCATTATAAAAAAACTTTTGCTTCTATTGCGTGCAAAGCCATTAGATGTGTCAGCGATGGCATTGGGGGTGCCAATTTTCCTAAGCGTGTGTGTGTGCGGATGACTGTGAGGGTTGAGTTTTTGAAGCTGCATTAAAAATCGCTTTTAACAAATGGCGCCATAAGCTCTTAGGCAAACTTTTAAATGTGCATGCTTACACACGCACACACGCATAGTAGGCCAAATGTTTGTAAGTGTGCTCGTAGCCAAGATTTATGTGGGGATTGCGGCGTATGAGGGCTTTCAACTTTAACACGCAGACAGTAGTGGGCAACAACAAGAGTAATACACATGTGCCCAGGTCCAAAGTATTTATAAGTATATATTAAAAGTGTCTAGACATGGCCAAATTATAACAAGCGACTTAAGCATTCTGCATAACATGAAAAAAAACTAAAGGGGCACCAATTTGCAGGAGCTAAGGTAAACAAAAAAATTAGGAAAATTGAAACCAAAAACAATTAATTAAATAAAAATATCAACTACTCAAAATAAAATAAACCCTTAAAGCCGAAACGATAAAGTTGGGACGCAGCATGTCCTTTGAAACCTGCAAATATGGACGTGAAAGAGCTTACATGTTCTATAAGTGTTTATATATAAAATACCCCAACCGCATAAGAGTATGCAGTAGAAAGTATTTAATTATCAACGCAAAATTATACAATATCGTGGGCTACAATCAGATGGAAATTTGAACCTCCTTGGTTTACTAAACAATTGCAACTCAATGTGAACTAGTTTTGATACAATTTCATTTTTAAGCCACTACAAATATGTCCTAGGAGCAAGTACTACTAATGTAGCTCAAAGAACTGTCACTTCGCTTTCCTTTACTTGTTCGCAGCCATTTAAAATACAATTAACTGAAAATAACACAAATAGATGTTATGTTAATACTTCTGCCCATTGAAAGGAAAGACAATTTGCAGTGTATTTCAATTTGAGTGTCCTGACAGCATAAATAGGGCAAAGAGTGTTAAATGGTTATTATATATGCGAAAAATGGGTATTTATTAAAGCTATGACTGCAAAATTTTCGCGCGCTTTAAAATGCAATTTTCAGCAACTTTTTTCATTCCAAAAATGTTTGCTTTCCTTTTTGAGCCACGCCCATTTTCATTTTGCCAGCATATGCAAAAATAATTTTTAATATGCGCATGTTGGATGCCAAGCAAGGACACAGCTCCTGCTGTTGCCGCTACTCCGGCTCCAGCTCCAGCTCCGGCTCTTGTTGATAATAATGAAGATAGTAATCATAATGATAATGCTGATGAGCACGGAGAACCGTTACAGTCTGCCCACCTACATATCACTTTAATTACGAAGAGACAATAGCAGACAGAATAAGTAAAAATGTTCTAGACAAGCATGCTCAAAGAACAGATATCACGCAACGCTAACTATGGAATATGGTTTGCTTCACGACGGGATGTGCTCAGGATGGAAAAAAGTCGTTGTTTTCATTATGTCTATCGCATATTGAAGTTTTTACACTCAGAAAAATACATATAAGTTTTGATACTGAGAGTATATGCATACATTACCTGTAGAGCTCAATGATACCGTGCATACACATGCCTATGCGTACAGGGTATAAAAGCCAGAGATAAAAATTGTGCATTCAAAAAGGCAGCAACAGCAGCGAAAAAAAAATATTGAGCATGCGATTGAAGTATTGATTGTTTAATCAACGAAACGTCAATATTGTTTGCTGGCCATTAACTGACAGCCCTCATAGATGTTTACCGGATGTGGCCGGGCGTTAATATCTCGCTACAATAACGGAAATGGGGTTTAATGTGAAAATAATTGCGTGTCATTACAGCATACGATTACAAAAAATAAACCAGAAGTGATGCAAAAAAACAATGCAAAAATATTGTTATAATGTCATTAAATTCCAATCGATTTGATTTCATTCCATTTCCATTGACTGACAGTTTGCTGCGTCTCTGAAATTATTGGAATTAAATTGCAAAGCCTTGACTCGTATATAAAGCAACAGCATGCGGTTTTTCCTTTGACTTGTCATATACATTTATTTTTTTGGTTTTTAGGCTTGTTAATTGAAAAGTGAAAGCGTTTCATTGAATAACATTTCCTTTCATCGGTTGCGTCTTTCACTTGATAGATTTAAATTACCCCACATCTTTCGACAGTCGCTGTCACTGACATATTGAAACTAGAGTTAAATTTTTAAAGCTTGCAAATGCTACAAATAAATGACTAAGAAATAAGAATATTAAAGCTGACTGGAAATTAAATGTGAATTTCAAAATGCCAAGCATCTGTCAAACTTCAACTTTAACTATAAATTTGTGTTTGAGCGACAAACAAATTTGGCAAATGACAAAACAGTTTGTCATTCGATAAGGGAAATAGCTTCAAAGATTTGGTATAAAAACACAACAGCAAGAGCAACCAGTTAGCTTAGCCGAAATACTGGCATTAAAATAAATAATTCATTTATTCAACGTGTAAATTTCCCAAGTCTGTGCGCTCTGGGGTCAGGCTGTGGGCGGACTGTGAAAGCGTTATAGAAATTATTAATAATTTATTTTAGCACATTTCAAGGATTTTGGCGTACCGTCCACACGTTTCGGCAATTTCCGGACAACAGAACCGGAAAAATACTCGAAAATGTAATAAATTTTCAAGGCGTTGAATCTGAGCAACTGCCGAATCCCCCCATTCGCCCCGCCGTCCCATCCAAAATACGGCTAAGGGTTCAGTTCACTTTTGTCGTGGGGTCAAATGTACTAAGTGCTCGGCAAACTGCTGCCGGGGCGGGCCAAATCAATGACAAAAATTACACACGAACGGTTTATGTTATTTAAAATAATGTGCGCATCCCCTCGCAGGTTTATGGGGGTGAGGAATTAATTGCAATGCCAAAAAAGGAAATGAATTTTCGGGTGGTAACTTAAAGTTGCACAAGTTAAAAATCCAGCACAAGTTGTTGTTTTGTTTAATTTGCCATTTATTTCTGTGTTGACATATTTTATTTATTCATGAATAAGATTTAAGTAAGTTTTTGTTTCTGTACAACTTGAGTGCAAATGTAAATATTGCTATAATAAGCTTATTTTAAATTTATAAGTTCCTCTTCCCATTTAAATTGTATGTACATCGTTAAGCATAAGTTAACCGAATGTATTCCATATCGACTGCTCATTAAGCAGTTTAAATATTTTAAAACTTTTTAATCCTAGAACCATAGAAAAGTTAACGAAAAAAAAAATTTCTCAAGCGCCTTTGTTATTGGGCTTCTTCACACTACACATGAAATGTTCTTTGCCGAAGAAAAATAATAAGTATTTAACAAAATCAACAAAGCAATGCGTCGGGGGGCGTTGCGGGC